CCTTTGTGTTTTAAGAAATAGTCATATCCTGCAGTCTTTACTGAGTGCATTGCTTCGGGGGAGAACACCTTCACCAGTTTGCCTGGCTAGGCACTCTTATGCTCTCTCTGACATTTTGTATGGATGTACCCATTCCATATCTCTTGTTCCTTCTTGTGAGGGATTTCTAAAGTTGTATGCCTTCTTTCAATCTTTCAGAGCTAGTCTGCATGCTGAGTCACCTGTTTGTTTTCCCTCAGGTGGTGTCCTGCAGTGCTCAAGTTTGTGTGCTTTCTCCTAATCCTCCAGAATAGGGGATTTCTGTGCTTGCTTTGTTAGCTGTCTGTGAAGGCTCATACTGGACATCTGGTGGGGGGGGGGGGTGCATGCATGAGGAACTGACCAAAGTGTGATGGGTGAGGTACACAACATAGAAGTTGCTCTTGGACCCTTTGAGGGGATCTGCAGGCAGTGTGTTTCCAGAGGCTACTGGGTGAGCCTCTTTATGAATTCAATGAGGCGTTTAGTAAGATCCACAGCCCTTTGATGATTTGGAGACATTGTTGCTGTGTTTCCAGCGGCACCCCCCTCCACCCCACCCCCAGCCATGCCTATCACTTCAATATTGTAGGTGAGGTGAGAAAGAAGTGGACTTCTTGGGCAATGTCCTGCTTGGCTGAAGAAGCCAGGTGCTCATACATTATGTTTTCACTTTCCCCTGTGGGAGAAATTGCAAGCTGATGGATCTCTTGGCACAGAGCAGTGCTGTTTTGGGGAATAGATGATGTAGGTAAAGTAAAACTGTTCTTTTTACCCTCTTCAATTCATCTATTCTCTCTCTCTTTCCCTCTCTCTCTATCTCTCTTGCTCTCTCTCTTTTTGCTGGACCTTCTCTGATGGACTCTGGGACTCTCATAAAGGTATTTTCTTTTTTTTTCTTTTTTTTTTAATTTAAAAATTTTTTTTCAATATATGAAGTTTATTGTCAAATTGGTTTCCATACAACACCCAGTGCTCATCCCAAAAGGTGCCCTCCTCAATAACCATCACCCACCCTCCCCTCCCTCCCACCCCCCATCAACCCTCAGTTTGTTCTCAGTTTTTAAGAGTCTCTTATGCTTTGGCTCTCTTCCACTCTAACCTCTTTTTTTTTTTCCTTCCCCTCCCCCATGGGTTTCTGTTAAGTTTCTCAGGATCCACATAAGAGTGAAACCATATGGTATCTGTATAAAGGTATTTTCAACCATGGATAGTTGTCAAGATCAATGTTCTGTGGGGGGTGATGGTAAAAAATACTTCTATTCTGCCATCTTGCTCTGAGTTAAAATTTTTAGCACTTAAGGGAATAAGTTCAGTATGTTAATTTAATAAAAAACAAATATGAATAATATTGATTCCAGTCTTCTATGGTTACATGAGTGTTCTCTTTGATTATTATAATGAAGATGGAAGTTTGATATTTTATTATATTTTTATGTATTATATATTAAAATGGTTGAGGAAATAATAAAATTGTGTGTCACAATTTGGGCCCTTCATTCATTCATTCCATAAATTTCCATAACTGTGTACTATTTGATAATTAGTTTTCTTGATCTCAAAATGCTCAAGACATGACTGATACGTACAATTTTCAATCAATTGATTCTGAACTTAAATTTCTCTTCTGTATTTTATTATATTATCTGATTTATATTTTTTAATCTTATTTTTTAGGTAGGTTAAGTTTCTCTAATTTATGCATGTTGCTTCCACATTTACTTATCAGAGAAGATGGTTGACTTTTAAAAAATATGATTGAAAAATATGAGGCAGAAAGATGAGTTATAATTGAATTAATAATAGGTATGTTTATTAAATGATAATTTGAGACAAAACACAATCTTGGTTAGAAGCTAAACTTTAAAATGCACTTGGAGTCATAAAATTAATCCATCCATGTGGAATTCATTTAAAAATTTTTTGTGCATCCAGTTTTAGCCAATTATCTGTTGAAATATCTTTTAAGAGAAGGACTTAAAAATAGTTTTACGATTAAGTTCAAGTAATAAATTAAACATAAAACAAAATCCATATATACTTTTAATTTAATTTTAGTCTTTTATTAGGTCTTAAATTTGAATATAAAAATTTACATATATATGCTCTAACTTTATATTCAGTGCCAAACACCTTTATTCAACTAATGATTAAATCTGGGCCACACAGCTATAAAACCAGAGAACACATTAAGTATATTCCCTTAAAGTTTCCATTTTTATTTTTGGAGCTTGACTAAGAACTTATTATTTCCACATTGCCTTGAATAATCATTTTGTTTAAATTATTTATTTTGACTATTCCATATTTTTTATTCCGTGTCAATGAACTAATATCTTTCTTCTTTTTTTAAATAATTTTTTATTTTCTGAACACTTATCTTCCTCAGCCATTAAGTAACCATTCACCCTACTTTTGAGAATATTTGGTAAAACAGTTACTGTTTGACAGAATTTGCTTTGGGGTTCTGCCTTTATTGGTAGCTATAAAAGTGACTTGTGGGTGTTTTGTTCAGTTTTGACTTTTGCACATGCATTTCTTTTTAACTGCCTTTTGTGACCAGATCTCTAGAGTTCTATGTTAGCTCTGAAGTTTTAGGTGCTGTATCCTCATTAATCTCTCCCTTTTTCAAATAATGATTAGCATATCTTGGAACATGTCTTGCAGTGTTACTTGATTGTTTCAGATATGTATGCTTCACTTTCAAATGTATTATTAAGCTGTAGAAAGACAGAAAATTAAGGTCTCATAGTAGTCTATGCTGGTTGATTTTGTAGAATGAATGAACTACACTCAAGAGTTTTTTGAATGACAAGTAGAAAGAAGAGAATGTCTTTTTGGAGTCGACTTATTTTTATTTACCCAAGAAACTGTTGAATAATGTTTACTATGTAAAGCTAAGCCCTTTATACATGTTAACTCATTTGACTTTTATAATCAGTCTTCTATGAGGTTGGAATCCTGGCTCTGGTATTCACTGCTTATATAACTTTAGGCAAGTTAACTCCTCTGAGTGTCAGTATTCTCATTTGTTATAGAATAAAGAAAGTCTTCTCAAAGTGTTTTGTGAAGATTAAATAAAATATCATTTGTAAGGTCCTGGCACATAATAATCATTTTTCTCTGTATTATAGATTTTCCTAGAAAGCATCAGATACGTAAATGGAGACTGTATTTTTAACACTTCTAAATCTTTCATTTATACAGGGTCTGAGAGAGCTTGCTATTTGCGTAATGGGTTATCAGTCAAGGTTGATTAGAGCAAGGAAGAGAACAACCTAATCTGAAAACTTAAAAGTATTGATGGGCCAATGGGAGAGCCGAGAGTGGCATTGCCAAGAGAAAAACTTTGAAGGAATTAGCATGCTCAGTTAGCAGAGCTCCAGATGACAACCAAGTCAGTCATGCACAGCATTTCTGTCCCATACCTCTCCTTTCTCAGTTTCTAGCCCTGCAGAGATCTCCAATGGCAGTGGGAAGTTTGGGGGACTGGTGAAAGAGAAAAGTCTACACCATGACTCTCTTTTCTAACACAACCCTCCAAAAGCGAAGTCAAACACTTGAATTTAGATTAAATTATTTATAATTTAATTACCTTTAGAATTTTCATATAAGGTGGGAATTGACATTTTTTTTGCCTCACAAAAAGAGACTTGCAGTGATCAGGAAAGCTATAAATACTTCCCCAAATTTTACCTAAAATGAGTGCAAATCATGGAACAGATTTGCGATGACAGTGGTCGGAAACAATAAAATTACTCTCTTTTTTTTGCACTCTACTATATCCAAATCATCCAATTCAATTAACTAAAGTGTTACGTAATTTATAATTTCTTTGTAACCAGAGAATAGGGTAAATATTTATTATAAACTTTTAAGTGTCATACGTGAGGCAGACACCTATGGAACAAGATTCATGTTAGGTGCAGAAATAGCCCTAGTTTTGAGAGTGACATTCTTCTTTCTTTGATACCAGGGGTTGAAACTTAATTGTCATGTATACTAACTATGTCAATATCTATATATTTATGATATGTTTATGTTATAAATGAATAGACTGAGAGGAATTCCAGCTTTTTGGAAGTTAATACAAAAGACATGTTAAGAGACAAGTACTTAAGAAAGGTGTAATTAATGAAAAAAGTAAGGAAGAAATATACCTAAGAGATACTTTGCAGGAAAAATTATAATACTCAGTCACTAATTGATAAAGAAATGAAGGAGAAGGAGTAGTTTAAAGTGACTTCAAATTTTCAAGATTTCTTGGTCACTTGTATAACAAGAATGCCTTCCTTAGTGAAATGACTCATTTCCAAGAAAAATAATTTTGCACCTATAAAAGCTTAATTTATACTTTCCGACCCTGTTATGCTTTGGTAGGCTTTGCAATGCCAAGGGTTTGGGGGCAGGGTATTAAATGAAGAGGGGTCTGGTTCTTGGTCATCATCTATTGTTGCTAGCATCTGTAAAGACAGCTACATTTCCATATGATCTTTTACCCTGTCACCATTATTCATTTTTCTTTCTGTGCAAAAGACCATCAAGATAACTAGGGCTTACTGCTATGTCCATGTAACTCTTGGTAACATAAGCAATTGAACTTTTCTGCCTCCATGAAGCACAGTAGGATGCACAGGGATACATAAGACTCATATTCACAAGGGTCCCTAAAAGGAACAAATGGCACATTCAAATTAATGTATCTCAGAGAGAGTTTATTTACACAGGAAGTAATTCTAAAGATGTGAATGTAAGGAGACAACAAGGGATAGTACAGGTACACAGAACTAGTAGCATACCCTAAAAGTGAAAGGAGAAAGAGGCTACTAGAACCTAGAAGGGGAGACAATTAGGAAGTGAAGCTGCCTTGAAAGGAGGAGTGATCATCCAAGGGATGCAGCCAACCTATGGTGACTCTTCAGGAAGGGCTTCAGGGGTTTAAATATTTTGATATCACACTTTTTCTTCATTTTCTTCTGTAGTCCCCATTGGTCAAATCCCACTGGAGCCAGTAAGAAGAGAGCAAAATAGAAGAGGAGAGTGAATCTGGAGGGGCAAATGGAAGATATGTGGCATGAGATATTAGGTATGTCACCTTAGATACCACCTTTGGTAATGTTTTGTCTATTGACTTTTACTCTACTGAGTACAAGGTGTTTGCTTGTTTGTGTGTTTGTTTTACCATACTTGCCAGTTTTTAGGCTATATGGGAGACAAGAGCCCTTTATCCTTACAGACTATCTGAGATTCCTTCTCTGGGCTTGGAATGTCAAAGGTGGTTCATTTCTTCTTAAGGAAAAACAATATCTTTGGGGCGCATGGGTGGCTCAGTCAGTTAAACATCCAACTCTTGATTTTGGCTTAGGTCATGATCTCATGGTTCATGGGATTCAGGCCTGTTTGGGGCTCTGTGCTGACAGTGTGTAGCCTGCTTGGGATTCTCTCTCTCCTTCTCTCTCTGCACCTCCCCTCACTCTCTGTGTCTCTCTCTCAAAATAAATAAACTTAAAAAACATAATTTTAAAGCACTTTGATTCTTCTTTTTCTTTACTCCCTTTACTTATAAGCTTTTATTTCTGATCAGTTCATATTACTCCCATCTGATGATTATTAAAAAGTAAGCAAGCATCAATTAGTTCCAGATGCATATATTATAACTGTACCAGAGAAACACGACAGGGTTGAACAAAACAAACCCAGAGTGGTGACAGAGGTGGGGACTCTGAATAAAGGCTTCACAGAAAGTAAGACCCTGGAGTCAAAACATCTGAATACAATCAGTGTCGCATCTGGCATTTAAATAACTCTTTGACTTCAGAGATGCACAGACTTAGACCCTGGGCTACATGCATTGAATCTTTACTGAATTTAAGCAAACATCTTATTCTTCATTCTTATTCTCTACCGCACCTTTTCCCCACAAAGATCACTTATTTTGGTGGTGTCAACACCATGTTCTCTATGTTTGAGACCCAGAAGATTCTCTCAGACATCTTTTAGTACTTTCATGTCCAAAGTAAAAATTAACAAATAATTCTAGCAATCAACAACAACAGAGGAGAGTGGCCCATCAGGAAGGAAGGTTTGTATTAGTCTACTAAGTAAAGAATTCAGTTGAGCTGATTTTCTGCTTGAGAACAAAAGACACTTAGTGGAAAAGGAAATGATAAAATACTGCTTACAGTTTTGCTTTATTGCTCGCTGGTGGCCATGATTGTGCTTCAGTGAACACTACTGAAATGTTTATTGGAAATGGTGGCATAATCCTTGTCCCTCTTCCCTAATCTCAGCGGGGGGGGGGGGGGGGCCAGCTGACACTATTTCACTGTCAAATATGTTTGCTGTAGATTGTGCTAGACGGTCTTTATCATATTAAGAAGTTCTGTTCTAGGGGCGCCTGGGTGGCGCAGTCGGTTAAGCGTCCGACTTCAGCCAGGTCACAATCTCGCGGTCCGTGAGTTCGAGCCCCGTGTCAGGCTCTGGGCTGATGGCTCAGGGCCTGGAGCTTGTTTCCGATTCTGTGTCTCCCTCTCTCTCTGCCCCTCCCCCGTTCATGCTCTGTCTCTCTCTGTCCCAAAAATAAATAAACGTTGAAAAAAAAAAAAAAAAGAAGTTCTGTTCTAGTTGCTAAGATTTTTTACAAGGAATGGATATTAATGTTTGTCAAATATTTTTATTCTGTAAATACTGAAATGATCATAAATCTTTTCTTTTTTAACAGTTATGGGGTTATTAACATTGAGTTATTTTTGAGTGTTAATCCAGCCTTGTGTTCCTGGACTAATTCTCTCATGGTTGTAGTATATTCTTTTTAAATATCACTGCTTTCAATTTGCTAATATTTTATTTACCATTTGCGTGTTTATCTTCATATAGGAAATCTATGAATTTCCTTTCTAACAGTGCCCTTGTCAAGTTTGGGTATCAAAGGTATGGTAGTCTCATACAAAAGTTCGGAAGTGTTTGTATATTTTTCTGTTTTCTGGAAGAGATTGCGCAAGATTGATGTTATGTTTTCCCTAAATAAAATAATTAAATGGAAGAATTCACCAGTGATGATATCTGGGTTTAAGCCTCTTTTTTTTTTTTTTTTTTTTTTTTTTGTGGAAAGGTACTTGGGTATAGATTTTATTTCTTTAATTATTGTTGTAATATTCACATATTTTATTTCTTCTTGTTTTGGTAAATTGTATTTTTCAAGGATTTCATCCATTTTCTCTAAAATTTTTATGGGTATAAAGGTGTTTATAATATTCTGATTGTCTTTTTAAGTTACTAGATATATGTAGAGATGTGTCCTTTTATAGTCCTGATGATTTATATCCCTCCTTCCAGATCAATTCTGTTAGGAGTATTTCAACATTATTAATCTTTTGAAAATAACTCTGATTATTGATTTTTCTATATATCGATTTCTGCTCTTATATTATCATTTAAATTTTTTTTAATGTTTATTTATTTTTGAGAGAGAGAGAGAGAGCATAAGTGGGGAGGGGCAGAGAGAGAGGGAGACACAGAATCTGAAGCAGGCTCCAGGCTCTAAGCTGTCAGCACAGAGCCCAATGTGGGGCTCAAACCCACCAGCGGTGAGATCATGACCTGAACTGAAGTCAGATGCTTATCTGATTGAGCCAGATTATTTTTTTATACTTATTATTATTTTTATATACTTATTATGCTTACATACTTATATACTTATTATTATTTTTTATACTTTTTGGGCTTGGTTTTCTATTCTTTTCCTAGGTGCCTGAGATACATGCTTAGAGATTTGATGTTCAGCTCTAAAGCATTACATTTTCTTCTAAACACTACTTTAGATACAGTCCACCATTTTCAATATGTTCTAACTTCACTCTAGTTCAACTTCAAGTAAATTTACGATTTTGATTTCATATATTCATTTATATATGGGCCACTTATAATTGTATTTCTTAAATTTCCAAACATTTGGCAATTTTCTAGTTATCTTTTGCCTTTATTTCTAGCTTAATTCCGTATAATACATGAGTTCAGTCTTTGAAATTCGTCAAGACTTTGTTGTATCAGCATTAACCGCATTAATTTTGGTTAATGACCCGTGTGTACTTGCAAAGAAGTTAATTTGGTCATTGTTAGATGCAATGTTATATATATGTTAATTAGATGAAATACATGAATTGCATTTTTAGGTTTACATCCCTATGGATTTTTGGTTTACTTCCTTCACCATCTGCTAAGAAAAAGCATAAAATCTCTTGTATGATTTTGGGTATGTCTACTGTTCCTCTCATTCTGTCAATTTTTTCCTTTTATATGTTAATGCTATGTTCTTGATAGCACACACAAATTTAGAGCTATTTTATCTTCCTGGAAGATGAACTACCTCACGTTGGCTGTGTTATTATGAAATGTCTATCTTTACCTCTAATAGTACTATATTAATTAAAATATTCTTTGTCTAATAGTATAGTTACACCGACTTTCTTTTGGCTAACATATATATAGTATATATTTTTCCATTCTTTTACTTTAAAAATTTGTCTTTAAATTGTGTTTCTGGCATGCAGCATATAGTTTTCCCTTAATCTGTCTGGAAAATATAGTATTTTAAGTTCAACATTGAGTCCATTTACATTTAATGTAATTATTGATACAGTTGGGTTTTTATCTGTCATCTTATTAATCGTTTCTATTTGATCCACCTGTTGTATGTTCTGTTTTCTCTGCTTTGCTTTCATATTTTGGCCTATTAAATAAATTTTATTATTTCATTTTTCCTACTATTAATTTATTAGTGACACTTTAAAGCTAAGCCTATACTTTTCTTCAGCTGTTATTAAATTGACAAATATCTGTCCATGTCTTGTAACAGATTATCACATTTCTATTTCTATAATAATGCTAAAATTCTGAAACAGTTTAACCTGCTTTATTCCTATTCTGTTTCCACATTGCTGGCATAGATTTTATTTCTACATACATTTTAAACTACACTAGACATTATGTTATATTTTGTTAATCAAATCTGTTTGTATTTACTCATATTTATGCCTTTCATTTCTCTTCAATTCTTTCTTGCATTTCTGTGTTTCCATCTGGAATGATTTTATTTCTACCTGAAGAACTTTTCTAAGATGACATAGGTTTCTCTGTCATACTCTTTACTTCATTCTGAGCCTTCATCAGCAATGCCTTTAAGTGTAATTCTACCAAACAGTGTGTTCAATGAATTTTAGTCTTTTTTTTTAGCATGCTCCTCAAAATGCTCCCGGCCTCTACCCATTGCCTAATCCCAAAGCTACTTCTACATCGTCAGGTACCCCATCTCAGTGCCACAATCTGTAATGGTTTTCTATTGCTCTGGCAACAAATCATCACAAATTTAGTGGCTTAACAACACAGATTAATTATCTGGAGGTCAGAAATCCAAAATGGGTCGGCAGTATCATCTGTTTCCTGTCTTTTCCAGCATTCCTTGCCTTGTGGTGACTTCCTCCATCTTCAAAGCCAGATAAAAATATTTTCTGGCTCTGACTCTTTGTTCCATAAAACACCTTTTCTGACTCGAATCCTGCTGCCTTTTTCTCAATCACAACGGCTATTGTGATTCCATTGTGATTATCAGGCTAATTCAGAATAATCTATCCATCTCTCAGGGTACATAATTGACAAGTGAGGCATCACAGCTGCAAGTTTTGGGGATTGAAATGTGGACATCTTTGGGTGGTTTTTATTCAGCCTAACACATGCACCTAATTTGGGAGTATAAATTTCAAGCTCTGAATACTACAGCATTTTAAATTTAAGACACTTCTTTTTCCCCACTTAAGCTGTTACTTATGTTCTGAAATGCTAAGTCCAAGATTGATTTATTTTTCCTTAGTGTTTCTGCTGTGACTTTCCTTCTTTCAGGCAGAAATGGCATGATGCTCTAGGCGTTGGAAGGGCCGTGGAGTACAATGGATATGGAGATCAGACACATCTTTCAATACCTCAACCTATCCCACTATATTTGCATTTTTTTCATGCTGTAGTCTCATAATTTTTCTCTCCAAAATGTCTATTCTTCACCGTTTATATTGGATAAATTTAAGTGACTTATCC